GAGCGTTCCCAAAAGTGGACACCAATAAAATATAGGGTGTATGTCCGCTTACAGGAGAGAAACAAGAAGGAAAGTAGACCATGACGAGCGTGATCATAACATGACACTATAAATGTTACGTCGTACTCTTGTTACCATCAAAGCCATAACATAGTGCCTACACACAAAGGACACTAAAACCATAACACAAAACCAACAAACGGTAGTCACAAACACCATAACATAGTGCCTACACGCGCTGGGATCAAAAGCTAGAACATAGTGCCAACACACACTGGGCGCAGAAGCCATAACATAGTGCCTACAAACAATGGACACTAACACCATAACACAGAGCCAGCAGACGGTGGGCACAAAAGCCATAACATAGTGCCTACACACGCTGGAATCAAAAGCCATAACATAGTGCCTACATCGTGCCTACAAACAATGGTGACAAAAGCCATAAAGTAGTGCCTAAACACAGTGGGTACTAAAACCATACCGTAACTAGGCTCACAATTGTACATGGCATTGCAATATTGTCATAGGTTTAGAATTACATTTGCAGAAACTATTTCCTTCATCCTACTCACAGGATTTGCATCATAAATTACCTTTAGATCCCATTATCCCACCTAACTTCAAAGTCATAAGAATTTTCTTCATCTTACACACAGGACTTGCATCATAAACTTCCCTTGGGTCACACTATCACACCTAACGTCAAAATCATAAGAAATTCTTGATATTGTTCGATTTCTTATTAAAGAAATACAGTTAGTTTAGTTCAGAGTGTCAAGACCTGCACTTACAAGCTCAGGACCTCTTGGTCACAAGAAGTAACTCCAGTGTAACCTCAAGTTAGAGACCAATTTTACTAAGGATTTGGTATGTCACATTTGACTTTGTTATATGTCTTAGAGTTTAGGTTCAAGAATGATACAGTTAATGTGTACTTATCTCAATCCAATTGTTTAGTCTCTGCCTAAATCCTTAGTTGATTCATGTTCAAAATGTCTCAAGATTGTATTTAGCCTTTGGAACATTGTGTGGTTCCAGAAAATATCCATACCCCCCCCCCACGGAAGATCATTGGAAATTTTGAGGGGGAGGGGGGATTCAAGGGCAGTAATTTCCGAGGGGTAGGGGGTTTCGTGGGAAACTACTTTTCCAAAGGGTGACGAACCACGTACAAAACATTGAAAGCAATATACGATCGATCTGAAGCGCAAAAACATACTCACGTACTTTGTTTTGAAACAAAAGTCAGTACTCCTAGCCATTGACATTAAGTGAACATTATAAGCTTTAATGTTTCTGTTTTTCTTTGAGTTAGATAGCGCTACAACCTCCCAAAGTTAGGAACGGAGTCATTATTCACAGTTGTTGGAGTACTTTCGTTCCCATTTCTTGCTCGACCTTCAGAAGGCCCGACTACCTAGCTACTGTAGTAAATCGTGACGATGTTCACGAAACCCAGTCAAGATGTGTGTGCTAGGGAGGTTTTCGGTCTTTAAATAACT